GAGTGCACAAACAAATCCTTTCATGATAAGTTCAGACAGATTTAATTTTGTAACAAGGTGCTAAATTTTAAAGTAAAGAAGTAAAAGTATATATTTTTGTTTTTAAATGTAACAAAATGATAGTAAAAGTAACTAAAAATACTTGACCAAATTACAAATCATCAAAACAATTAAGTGCTGTAACAAAGTAAATGTACTTAGTTTCTATAAACCTCTGCACATAAGTATATATAAGTATATATGTATATAATATTAAGGACATAGCACAGCTCTCAGCTCAGATTTTTTAAAGGAAACTTTTATAATCAAAAGAATCTCATGTTTGTAATTAGTATATTTAATTTTTGTCACAGAAAAGTGATGGATCATGAGAAATAAGCTCTGTTGAGTTCAGATCAAATGTCAAGGATTTTCATTATAAATCTTTGTCTCAGACAGACTCAGTCTGGATGCAGAAAAAGAAACATCTTGCTCATCACTAATAAGAGGACCAACATGTCCACACACGTTGCAGAGTTTGTTTGGCAGTTCGGGGGAGGGCAGCTGTGCGAGTTCACTCAAACATCCTGAGCCACATCAGTAAATACTGTAACACACAGACATGTGGACTGCAGACACACAATACTCACATCTGGACAGATGCTTGACTCCCATCAGTTCTGATCATCGGCCCAAATATAGGACCAGCATGCAGTCGTTTCTGTTTCTGTTCTTAAGCTCCATTCAGTTGTTCTTAGAAGCAAAGTGTGACTGGACACAGAGCATTGGTCACATTTTTAACAAATGTAGTAAAAGTAAGAACTAATAACAGCTGATGGACACTATGTCATCTCATTTAATTGTGTTCAATTTGAGGGAAATAAATCAAGTTATTTCAAGAACATAGATGGCGATTGCTCATCCCTCTCTGGTGACCACAAGCTGTACACACCCTGCTCTGTCTGAAGCTCAACTGCACTTTGTGTGTGTTTGCTCTTTGTCATTATTAACCACGCAGGCTATACTATAAACTATGAAATTAGGAAAAACATCTGCAGCAGCTTTTCAACCTTTTTTTTATTAATTTCCCAACTAATTTTCAGATTCATTTCTAACAGTGTCTTTTAGGCTTATTAAAAAAACTCTTTAAATTTATAACCATGTGGAATATGACAAAAAAAGACACATTTGACACAAGGAAATAAGCCAAATATTTCTGATGAATTAATTAAAATGCTTTAAATCTGCAGAAATCCTGGTGGCTGTTTTTATTTTCTTGCCCAGAGTAATGAAACATCAGTACAAAGGGTTGGACTTGAAAGCGGTAATGCTGCTCTTCCTGAGCAGGCTCCTGACCTCTGACATGTCTGGAGTCAGAAAGGTCAGCAAATGTTGTCTGGTTTATTTGTCCACTTTTCTAAACATCCGTTGTGACTTACTGAGCGTGTACTTATCTATATGTCCATTAGTGTTTGGGTGTGACACTGTCTTATCAGAAATTACCCTGAGAGATAAACAATGGACGGACGCTCAGAGAGGTTAATGTATCTGGCAAATCCTGTTGTCTGGTTTGGTCAAAATGAGGCAAAATTAAAGCTGCAGGGCTCCATTCTGATGGAAAGTAGGCATTTTGAGAAACAACTGATCATGACGAAGTTTCTAACTAAATGATGGACTGTATCTTGGTCCGAACTTTTGCATCACTGCAGAAAACAATAACCCTGATTGTTCAAAGTGTGACGAGGTTAACCAACTTCAAGCGTGACATATTTTATTTATGTTTATGCATAAAAATGCAGCCTAATATCCATGTACAATCAGCTCAGTTCTGCCTCTCAGTCAGCCACCAGGGTTAAATGGAATATTTTATCGTCCATCATCACACATGCTTTGACATTTAACTGTGCGAACCATTCATCAGTGCATCAAAGCCATGTGTGTGTGTGTGTTGACATAAACTCGTGTCACGGTTCTGCATTATTAGTTTTCTCTACGCCATAAGTTTTTACCAGAGTACAGATTTTACTGATGGTGTTCACGCAGACAAAGGAGGGACTGACGAAGCTGCAAATTAAAGAGACACTAAAAGCCTTTGATGACGGATGGAAGGAGGCAGAAACGATTGAAAAAAAAAGAGTTTGAGAACAGAATGAATATGAGTAAAGAAATGTTTAAAGGCACAGTGTGTATGATTTGTTGTTTTCAGCGACATCTAGTGGTTGAGTGGTTGACTCATCCTCCCTGGTCCTCCCCCCACCC